CCTAAGTGTAAGATCTATTAAGCACATACACACACTCCATAAAGCTTCCCCTCTACAAAAATATCGCTACCATGCCGAGTCCTCAGCCGTCCGCACACGGATAAGAACGGGGTGCTATTACACATACTGCGTGCGACTTTAACTTTTTTATATGTAATGGTGAGAATAATTAAAATTCCCTCAAGTTTTATTACTTCTTTGACTTGTATATGTGTATTTTAGGACAAACATTTTAAGCTGCACGGAGCACACAGCAAGCTTTTAATAACATGTAACTAAAATCTTAGGAGCATGAAGAATAGTTTATTAATGCCCAGGGGATCATTCTAGTCTAATACCTTCGATTTACTGAAGTCACAAAAGTTATGTTGGCTTGTTTTATGAATATAATTTTAGCCACATGGTAAAGTATAGCTTTGTACAGGTGTCCTCACATGTCTGGTCCACTGACATCTAAGAAATCCAACTCTGGGGTTAGGGAGAGAAGCAAAGGACCTAATAAAAACCACATGTTAACCATTAATGTTCATTTACCAAATCTTGCTTAAACTCTTGTACTCTCAAAGCTAATTTCGTCCAACTGCCTTTTAATTATAGTCTCTTGTTCAGAGTTGCAAATATAATGGCTTTTTAATATGACGTGCACTGTTCTGTGTCCAGTGTAGGATGTAATCATGCAATTTATTCAGTCAGAGCCAGTGCATTAGGTAATTAAAACACAAGCACACACAGATTCCTGCACATGCATATAGCCAGCAAAAAACAATCTGAGAAACAAGAATATTTGTCAACAATATAACAACCTGACAAATTTGCTTTCAGATAGAATTCTGTAAATCCTATGTCCACAAATGTGTATTGTAGCTATGGTGAAATACTGAAGTCAGATATCACTGGGTGAGCTGTGCACATATCACAGGGTATCAAACAAACAACACTGATCTGAAGTAGGAATAGAAGTGATATCACCATCGAACAGTCTTGGTAGATAATGATAATTCTCCATACTGGTGAGCTCTTCATTATTCAAGATGCTGGAAGATGAACAGACCCTCAGTCCCCTGTCTCTTACAGAGAAGGAAGGCAGAAAAGAATGATAATGAGATTTAAGATTATTTTCACTATTATGAAGATGATCAAACAAAATAATTTAAGAACTCTTAGTGGTGATTACTTTTGGGAACTAGGAATAGATGTGTGCCTGTGTTACATGTATATGCACACACAAACACATTTTTTTCTTTTAAGGAGAATATATTAGTCTATTAAAGTTGTTCACTTTTATTCCAGTTTCATTTCAGAGTAATCATATTTTATATAAAAATGAGTAACACTTGCCGGGCGTGGTGGTTCATGGTGGTATTTTTTTTTTTTTTTTGAGACAGAGTCTCACACTGTCGCCCGGGCTGGAGTACAGTGGTGCAATTTCTGCTCACTGCAACCTCAGAATCCCAGGTTCAAGTGATTCTCCTGCCTCAGCCTCCCAAGTAGCTAGGATTACAGGCACACACCACCACACCGGGCTAATTTTTGTTTTATTAGTAGAGATGGAGTTTTGCCATGTTGACCAGGCTGGTCTTTCACTCCTGACCTCAGGTGATCTGCCCGCCTTGGACTCCCAAAGTGCTGGGATTACAGGCATGAGCCACCGCGCCTGGCCCAGCACATACATCTTCAATAAACATGATAAAAAATTTAAAAAACCCTATACGTGTAAGATTCTGTTTGTTGTTTATGGGCTGTGAAGTCAAATGCCAGCTTGAAAACAGAAAAATATTTATTCATTCCTCAGGATTTGGGGTTTGTCAAACGCCAGTGTCTGGAAAGGTGAAAAGCTAGATGAACCGAGACTTTTTTCCGTTTTCTCTGGGTATGTGTTCAGGTATCTTGCATTCGTTCTTATTTAAAATACAAATGTGGAGAGCCTGTGTACATTTCTTCTGGAACCATAAACAAAGGATTTCAGGTGACACATCCTCATATATCCTCATTAGCTAACCTCCTTTTCCTTTTTTTTTTTTTTTCCTCCATTGCATCCACATGCTTTCTTCCTCTTACCTTCTTAGCAGTTTTAGGGTTCCTTTTCGGAAGAAAAGTACAAACAAAAACAGCTAGGAAGCTGGCTGAGTAGCATCGTATTCCTCAGGCAGGATTTGACTAAGCCTTGGGATCCGGATACACAAGCATTTTCTCGGATTGCTGTTTCTTACACAGTTAAGCTTTAGAGTTGTTAACAGGGAGTTTTGGACCCTTCAGCTCTAGAAAAGAGCTAAACAGGAACAGCCATCTGAGAACAGCAAGAGGGATGGAGACTGGCTCCCGGTGGAGAGGCTGGTCTACCTTTTAGAAATGCTCACGGTTCAGGAAGAAATATCTCCATCCACCCCTCTTCGTGCCCTGCATCTCGGCTCTCCAGCTTGCAGCCTAAACCCTGCCCCTGACTTCCTCTGGTCTTGAGGGCTGCTATTTACTCCTGCCTTTTGCCTGGTCGTTAGAGGTGCTCTGTTCCAATTCATCTCCGAAGTAGAAACCCACAGAAGAGCGAATCAAACACAATGCTACCAAAGCAAAACGAGCTGAGAATATGCTCTGTCATCTTGACCAAATACCAAATTCCCATCCCAAGTTCTAAACTCACGCGTTTGGTTTGGAGGAAATGCCACACTTACAAATGGATTACGTAACCAATGGTCCTCACTCAGTACCCACATTCCTGTAAAAATGATACTAGAAATTCTAGACCAAATTAAGAAATAATTTCCATAGTCCATAGTAGCAATTAGCTCATACCGACGTCAAAATGTAAGCCTTTGATTTTTTTACTTGTTTTAAAGACATATTTTAGACTTTGGCATTTTAAAAATCAAGATTAATCTTAAGTTGGATACATTTACTTAGTGTGGTATTGTTATTACCTGAAAAGCCATTATATTAATGGTATGCTTAGCATCACCTCCACTGATGTCTTAAATCTTAAAATCAAATAATTATGGTTATTTTAATTATACCTGATTATCACATTAATTCTGGGGGAAACATGCATGATGGCTGCATATTTTTGGCCATTATGCGGTGATTCCAATCAGGGATTCACTTAATACTGATAAAAATGAGTTAATCCCTACATTAGATTTTATTTTTACCAGCTACTTTCCGACAATTTCTCCCTTTATCCATGTGTAACTGCTTTCTCTGAATTTCCTTCTACAGCAAGTAAATACACCAGATCCCATCTCATCTGTTAGTAACAAGAAACTTGCTCTTACTCTGTGGCTTGCCTCCAGCTGTGGCCCTGTCCCTGAAGGACACTTGCACATTTGCTGTTGAACAAAAGTGGCATGAATTATGCAGCCCGTTTCCCCTTAATGAACATTTAAGTTATGGGTTTATTACTATTAAAAATACTATTCAGTCAACGTTCTTGAACAGATCCCTTTGTACATTAGTGCAAATAACCCTCAGTACCTCAGAATGTGACTTTATTTGAAGGTAGGGTCTTTACAGAGGTCCTCAAGTTAACATGAGGTCATCAGCATGGGTGATAATCCCACACGACTGGTATCCTTGTTCGGACACAGGCACAGAGGGAAGGGATGTGGGGATACAGGGTGAACGCCATGTGAACACGAGACAGTCACCTAAAGCCAAAAAGGGAAGCCAGGGCCAGTCCTTCCCTCCCAGCTTCAGAAGGAACCAGCCCTGCCAACACCTGGGTTTTGGACCTCTAGCCTCTGGAACTGAGACAATACATTTCTGCTAAGTCACCTAGCTTGGGGGTACTACTATGCCAGGTCTATAAACGAATATAGCAGACTTTACAATATTTATTTCCAAACTGGCTGTGACAATGTATACCTTCCCCAACCGCACATAAGCCTAACTTCCCACCATACCTCACCTACACCGAACATCAGTCTGTTCAGTTTTGCTAAATTTTAAGAACAAATAAATGGTATCTCTTTTCAATGCAGACTCTTTGATTTTTTAAAATACAGACTTGGCATATTTCTGAAGTTTCGTATTCTTTAGTTGTAAAATATCTAAAATGGATTCAAATGGACTAACGCTATCAAATAATCGCTCACATCTAACCGTATGAGTTCCATATAGTTTGATACAGTGGTAAAAAGAAAACAAAAATTAGAATGAAACAGAGATGACTTTAAAAAATGTTTAATGACTCATTCATTTATTGACTATCTACTGCAAATTTTTCATTCTCTAGGACAATGACATGTACCATGAAGAATATTTTTGTTTTTTACTTTTTTAAAAAGATGGGCTCTTGCTGTTATCCAGTCTGGGGTCCAGTGGTGCAATCACAGCTTACTGTAGCCTCAAACTATCCTCCTGCTTCAGCCTCCTGAGTAGCTGGGAACACAGGTGTGTGCAACCAGGCCTAGCTAAGTTTAAAAGTGTTGGGGGAGCTGGGCGCAGTGGCTCACATCTGTAATCCCAGCACTTTGGGAGGCCGAGGTGGGTGGATCACTGGAGGTCAGGAGTTTGAGACGAGCCTGGCCAACATGGTCCCAGCACTTTGGGAGGCCAAAGTGGGCAGATCATCTGAGGTGAGGAGTTCAAGACCAGCCTGGCCAAAATGGTGAAACCCCATCTCTACAAAAAATACAAAAATTAGCCAGATGTGGTGGTGTATGCCTGTAGTCCCAGCTACTCAGGAGGCTGAGGCAGGAGAATCCCTTGAATCCGGGAGGCAGAGGTTGCAGTGAGCCGAGATCACGCCACTGCACTCCAGCCTGGGTGACAGAGCCAGATGCCTACTAAAAATAAAAATAAAAAAAAAAAACCAAATAAAAACAATTTTTTTTTTTTTGCAGAGACAAGATCTCACTATGTTACCCAGGCTGGTTTGGAACTCCTGGCCTTAAGCTATCCTCCCGCTTTGGCCTCCCAACAAAGTATTAGGATTACAGGCGTCAGTCACTATGCCTGGCTGAAGTATTTATTTAAAAGGCAAAAACTAAGAAATGAAAACTACACAATTAAAACTCAAAGTTATTTTCATATTTATAGTACATGAAAATAAGTCTTATATCTAATAATCCAACAGATACTATATTAAAGGTCATGCTTTTGAAGTCAATTTATCACTGACCTTCCTGTTGGAAGCACATTTTAAGAATACAAAGTTCTAAATAAAACAAAAAAGAAAAAAAATACACCATGTTCTCAAAACGGTATCACAAAGTATGGGAGCATCTTAGAAACACCAAATTATAACCGCTTTTGGGGCTGCAATATTGATTTAAAAATTCCGTCCTAGAAACAATAATCAAGAGGCCGATTTGTCACTGATCACTGATCACTCTTCTGCCTATCCTGTTGGAGGACCACTCTCCGTCTTGTTCATTCTTGTTCGTATTTGCATGCGTTAGGATGTGGGCTTTCAGGTTATTTGACTGAGTAAACCTCCTGTTACAGCCTTCAAAGGGACACACGAACCGTTTCTCCCCCGTGTGGATGCGTACATGCGTACGCAAATTGAAGTCCAGGGAGAAGCGCTTTCCGCACCCTTCAAAAGTGCACTGAAACGGTTTTTCTCCAGTGTGAACCAGGAAATGTCTTTTTAGTTTCGAGCTCTCGACGAAGGCTTTCCCGCATTCTGCACAGATGTGGTCTCGGGGACCATGAGTGAGGAGATGCTTTTTCAGGGCAGCTGTGTTCCTCAACTTCTTACTGCATCCACTCTGAGGACAAGCGATCGCACTCAGACTGTCATATTCTTTACTTACGGGGGGCTTCTTTCTAGCACATTCTGCGAGCTGTTTTCGATCTGAGAGGTCAATGCCAGGTATTCCTCCAGGCAGAAGCTTCTCGCCTGTCACGTACTCAGAACACTCGAGCGAATTCTCTCCAACTATCTTTTGAGGAAGCTCTTTCTTTGCCCCTTTTTTCATGTATTGCAGAGAACATTCAAGAAGGGAGCTTGCTTCGAGAACCTTTTGAGAAAGCTGTTGTTCTGATCCTTTCTTTAGGTATTCCAAGGACTCAAAAAGTGAGTCCTCTTCCAGGATGGGTTGAGAAAACTCACCCCTTATGATGCATTCTATGTAACAGTCTGAGAAATCGTCCTCTCCAACAGCCTGAGGGCCAGGCTCATGGCACACGTGGTCATCACAGAAGGCCCACACGGCGCCCACAGGCTCCATTTCCGCCTGCAGGTCTTGGCTTGCCTTGCCTGGCCCGGGCTTAGCCCTGCCGGGGGCTCTTCCACCCGGGCCTTTCTGGCGTCTCGTCTTGGCCCGTTTCTTCAGTTGCTGGTTCATGTTTTCCTGACTGTGTCCTTCTTGAAGGTTTACACCAGGATGTATCAACCACCTCCAGGGAGTAGTGATCTGAGTAAGCTGTCTTCAGCAAACACCTGCTTTATGATAATAACCTTTAGTTAAAATAGATTCCAGTATCAGAGCTACTGTCAAAAAATGACCTAGGAGTCATTATTTCCAATAATACATTTCCATCTTCTCTGATAAACTAACCAACAGACCGAGAATGAGCTCTGTGTAAGACACGAGTCATAAACAGATCTTATCTAGGTGTTCCCACAAGTTATCGGAACCCTCTATATCTAATTGCTCACCTGACATGCATTGGTCAGGACCATGTGCTAGCTCTACTTTAGGCTACACAGTTTGTGATACATCAGTAAACAGGCACACAAACATCTATGCCTCCATGGACTAGACATACTCATGAGTATAGAAAATAAGCAATGTATGCCATGTGTTAGAAGGTGACTAAGTGTGAAAGAGTAAGCAAAGGGACTGGTAGGAAACAGAAGCCTGAGATATTAAATAGGGCACTTGGGCAAACCTTCACTGGGGTGGTAAGTGGCAGTTCGTTAAAAGCCTGAAGCGGGTAAGGGAGCAAAATATTGTCTTCTTTCTTTTCCTTTTTTTTTCTTTTTGAGACGGAGTCTCACTCTGTCGCCCAGGCTGGAGTACAGTGGCGCGATCTCAGCTCGTTGTAACCTCCACCTCCTGGGTTCAAGTGATTCTCCTTGCCTCAGCCTCCTGAGTAGCTGGGATTACAGGCGCATGCCACCACACCTGGTTACCCTTTCTATTTTTAGTAGAGACGGGTTTTCACCATGTTGGTCAGGCTGGTCTCGAACTCCTGACCTCGTGATCCGCCCGCCTCGGCCTCCCCAAGTGCTGGGATTACAGGCGTGAGCCACCGCACCTGGCCCTATTCTTGTTTTCTTATGTAATACTGTTATGAAATTCCAATTAAATAATGCATGCGAAGTGCTTAGCACAGATTATGGTGCACAGCAAATGCTGACTGCGATGTGAGCTCGTGTTATTTTATTACCTTTTCATTCATTCTACAAGTAATATGTTGGATCCTGCTACATGCCAGGTTCTTTCTAGACCAGGGTGGTAAACCTTTTCTGCAAAGGGCCAGATTTTAGCTTTGTGGGTTCTGTGGTGTCTGTTGAAACTATTCAGCTTTGCCGCTGTACTGGAGCACAGAAGCAGTCAGGTAACACACAAAGGAATGAGGTTGGCTGTGTTCCAATAGAACAGGGAGACTGGCCCATGGCCATTGTGTGCCCACTCATTGTTCTAGAAGACGGGGATCCAGGGAATAAGACACATGAAATTCATGGTGCTCCCACCTTTTAGGAATTCATGCCAAAATAAAGGCACAGGGTAGCTTGGCCCTGAAGAGTTTCCCATCATTTCCTTAAAAATCTAACAGCAATGACATTATAAAAGGTATAGCATGAATATGTTATTGCTTCTATTACGAAAGTCTCTTGCATAATGTTACAACTGTGTGCCTGATAAAAGATCTCCCTGTTTATCATCCTCGTGTCTTTCTGTAGGAAGAAAAATTATATGTTTCTAAAAAAGAGGCAGAGGTAAAAGTTGTCGGATAACGATTAACAGCTTGAAAATACTTCAGAAAACAAAACAAAACAAAACACCTCAACAGAAGCATGTCATTTACTTTTGGTAAAAAGCAAATACATATAATAAAAACAAAATGTGTTCCAACTGTAAGGGAAGAGTTTAAGATTTCTTAAAATGTATTAAAAATATGTAATATATATGTTAAATGCTACTAATACTATTATTTTTGGTGTATTTTATTTTATTTTGAGATGGAGTTTTGCTCTTGCTGCCTAGGCTGGAGTGCAGTGGCACGATCTCAGCTCACTGCAACCTCCGCCTCCCGGGTTCAAGTGATTCTCCTGCCTCAGCCTCCTGAGCAGCTAGGATTATAGACAGGCGCCCGCCACCACGCCCAGCTAATTTGTATATTTTTTAGTAGATACAGGATTTCATCATGTTGACCAGGCTGGTCTCGAACTCCTGACCTCAGGTGATCTGCTCACCTCAGCCTCCCAAAGTGCTGGGATTACAGGTGTGAGCCACGGCGCCCAGCCTGTGTCCTTTAAAAAGGTGAAATTAGGGCTGGGTGCGGTGACTCACGCCTGTAATGCCAGCACTTTGGGAGCACAAGGCTGGCGGATCACCTGAGGTCAGGAGTTTAAGACCAGCCTGGCCAACATGGCGAAACCCTGTCTCTACCAAAAATACAAGAAATTAACTGGATGTGGTGGTGCACACCTGTAATCCCAGCTACTCCAGAGGCTGAGGCAGGAGATCACTTGAGCCTGGAAGGCGGAGGAGGCAGTGAGCCAAGATTGTGCCACTGCACTCCAGCCTGGACAATAGGGAGACTCTCTCTTAAAAAAAAAAAAAAGAAAAGAAAAAAGAAAAAAAATAAAAATAAAAAGGTGAAATTAACCAGGGAGATTTGAAAGTATTTATGAAGCACAATATTAGCACCTTTGGAGAGTAATTACTAGGATGAAACACAGAGCTGCCCTCCCTAGTTAGTCCATTTAAAAAACAGCTTGTGCATCTCAAATCTGAAAATCCAAGATCTGAAAGGCTCAAAGTATGATATCTTTATGAGTGCCACCATGACACTTGAAGGAAATTCTCATTGGAGCATTTTGGATTTTGAATTTTCGGACTTGGGATGCTCATGTTGGGTATTTTGCAAATACTCAAACATTCAAAAAAATCTGATGTCCATACTACTTCTGGTCCCAAGCATTTTGGATAAAAAGTGCTCAACCTGTAACTGTAATTGACTGCTGCTTTTCTCTCCAAGTTCACCTCTTGCCTTCTCTAGCTCTTGTATTTCACTATTCAGACATAATAAACTTTCTCTAGTAAAGCGTCAGATCAGTCCATTACAAATGTTCTTTTTTCTCACGAAAATACTGCCCATCCTCCAACACACACACAGAGGCTTGCTTCCCACCCATACTTCAGATGTGGAAGCATCACCTCCTCAGGCAGGCTTCCCTGCATTCTTCATTCAGTTGAGTCCCAAAGCTAAGTGTTCCCCTAGCTCCCTATTTCACACTCATCAGAGCTCTGGTGTCCCTTGCTTAAAGTCTGTCTTACCTGCTAGACTGTGAGCTCTACGACAGCGAAGGCCTCTTCCGTTCTGTTCACACAGGCTCCAGCCTCAGTACATTTGTCTAGTGAGATGAAATCATGAGTATGCATTAGTCATTGTGCTGTTGATCTCTGATTTAACAACCCTATACAATTACTTTACTAGGAATTTAGTTGAGAGTTTAGGCAACTTAATGTAGAAGTTTCAAAAAAGCTGGCTGTTAATGATGCAAGGTGTTACACAGAAAGGAACTTCCTAAGGCCAGGCATGGTGGCTCATGCCTGTAATCCCGGCACTTTGGGAGGCTGAGGTGGGCGGATCCCTTGAGCCCAGGAGTTGGCGACCAGCCTCAGCAAAATGGTGAAACTCCATCTTTACAAAAAAAAAAAAAAAAACACCAAACACACAAACATACAAAAAAACATGAGTCTAATCAGACTACGCCTACACTTCAGCTCAGCGATGGTTAGGTCTGAATTCCCAAGGGAGGTGGTGAGTGGGGTGGGCTTGCCAAATGCGCTGGTGGTCCCAGCTCTTCAGGAGGCTGACGGGGGAGAATCGCTGGAGCCTGGGAGGCAGGGGTTGCAGTGAGCTGAGATCACATCACTGCACCCCAACCTGGGTGACAGAATGAGACCTTGTCTTAGAAAAAAAAAAGGCATCTCCTAAGAGAGTGTTTTCTTTATGAATTTACCAAGATTCAAGTATGGTCCTCACCTGTCTAAGCTAAATTCTTACTTGTCAGATCTCCGAGCATTATGCTATTTCTCATAGCAATAGACAAGCTTGTGAGGATGACATATAAAATTGAAATGGTAATTTATTAATTTATAAGAAAACTATTTACATGGCAAGCCAATTTCTGTCAGGAGAAAAAACTAGTCATGTATCACTCAAAGACAGGAATATGTTCTGAGAAATGTATCTTTAGGTTGCTGTGTCATCTGTGAACATCAGAGTGCAGCTGCGCAGACCTGAATGGCGTAGCCTGCGACACACCCAGGTGACACGGTAGGGCCCGTTGCTCCTAGGCGGAAAATCTGCACAGCAGGTTCCAGTTCCGAGTACTGCAGGCCACTGTAACACAACAGTAAGTACTTGTGCATATAAACATATCTAAATAGAAGAAATACTGCACAGAAGATAAAAAGTAGTGCACCTGTGTAGGTACATTTCCATAATGGAGCTCACAGTGCCGGCAGTGGCTCTGGGTGAGTCAGTCAGTGAGTGCTGAGTGAATGAAGGCCTGGGCCACCACTGTAGACAACGGTAGACTTTATAAGCACTGCACACTTACGCAAATTTTAAAACTTATTTAAAAATGTGTCTTTCTTGAATAATAAATTAACCTTAGCTTACTGTAACTTTTTAAATTTATTTATTTATATATTTATTTAGAGACAGAATTTCCCTCTTGTTGCCCAGGCTGGAGTGCAATAGTGTGATCTTGGCTCACCGCAACCTCCACCTCCCGGGTCCAACCGATTCTCCCACCTCAGCCTCCTGAGTAGCTGGGATTACAGGCATGCGCCACCACGCCCAGCTAATTTTGTATTTTTAGTAGAGATGGGGTTTCTCCATGTTGGTCAGGCCGGTCTGGAACTACCGACCTCAGGCGATCCGCCCGCCACGGCCTCCCAAAGTGCTGGGATTACAGGCGTGAGCCACCGCGCCCGGACTCTTTTTAACTTTATAAACTTTAAAATGTGCAAACTTCCTCTTTTGTAATAACACTTACCTTAAAACACAAACACATTTTTTCAGCTGTACAAAAATATTTTTTATGTTATTTTATACGATTTTGTCTGTTCAAATTTTTTTAGCCTTTAAAAACTTTTACGTTAAAAACCAAGAGACAAACACACACAGCAGCCTAGGCCTACACAAATTCAGGATCATAAGATGTCACTAGGGGATAGGAACTTTTCAGCTCTTTTATAATCTTATGGGACCACAGTGCATGGGGTTGCCCATTGACTGAAACGTCCTTACGTGGAACTTGACTGTACATGGAAAATATACCGGTAAAAGCAGATGTGGACAAAATCTTCATATTAAATCAACACTTAATTTTCTATTTCGCAAACTGGGGCACAAGTACTTCCAGGGGCACATCCTTTACTTATTCAATCATTTGACAGACATTTAGTAGCAAACATTGTTCTAGGTGCTGAATTTAGGGAAAAAGATACAAAGTTCCTCGTTAACACACAGTTTGGTGTGGGACCCGCATTAAGAGTCAAATAAAAAAACTTCAGATTGAGAAAAACGCTATTAAAAAGCGTGGCGGGGTGGGGAGAGGTGGCTCACGCTTGTAATCCCAGCACTTTGGGAGGTCGAGGCGGGGCGGATCATGAGGTCAGGAGATCTAGACCAGCCTGGCCAACATGGTGAAACCCCGTCTCTACTAAAAATAAAGAAAAAGTAGCCGGGCGTGGTGGCGGAGGTTGCAGTGAGCGGAGATCGCGCCATTGCACTCCAGCCTGGGCAACAAGCAAAACTCTGTCTCAATAAAAAGGAAGAGAATGAGAGGGGAGGTAACCGAGCACGCCATCTTGATCCTGAATGTCTGGAAAAGGCCCCCAAAGAGGGGCCACCGGAGCCAGATGCGGGCAGGAGCAAACGTGCCCGGCGGTGGGAAGAGACCAGCGACGGCTGCTGGTTCCAGGCTCCCGGCGGCTCCCGGGGCCTGCGGGGGAAGGAGGCCACGCTCAATGCTCCCTGCAGATACGGCGGGCAGGAAGGTGGGGGCTGGGACGCGGCCCAGGCGGCGGGGCTGACTGTGGGCCCCGGGACCATTTGCATTTCATTCCAGGACCCATGGAAACCATTACAGCGTTTCCAACAAGGGAACTGCACGCTTTCTTAGGTTAAAAGATGGGCCGGGCAGCTGCATGGAGAATGGATTTGGGGAGAACAAAAAAGGGTATTAGATTTGGGCATCCCGGGAAGGGCTGCTAGTGGTTTGGAGCAGACGGTGGCAGAGGAGACGAAATGCAGGGAGAGCGGGAAAGCAGAAGAACCACCCCCTGCCTCCAGCTCGCTGGTGGATTGGATGAAGGGCGGACGGGAAACAGGAATCAAGAAAGAGTCTCGCTGGGCGCGGTGGCTCACGCCTGTAATCCCAGCACTTTGGGAGGCTGAGGTGGGCGGATCTCCTGAGGTCAGGAGTTCGAGACCAGCCTGACCAACATGATGAAACCCCATCTCGCACTCCAGCCTGGCAACAGAGCGAGACTGTCTCAAAAACAAACAAACAAACAAAAAAACAACAAAAAAAGGAGTCTCCTAGGTCTTTTGCTAGAGTAATTTGAGTGGAGCGTATTGCCATCTCCAGAGATAAGTGGAGAAAAAAGGGAAGAGACTGGTATCCTGATCACAATATAAGCATGTCAATATAAAAAAGACCTAGCCAGATATTGTAAAGAAACATATTTACAGGAAGTTTTGAAACAAAATAAAAAATGCAATTTAGGAAATCACCGCCAGACACTCGCCTTATTGAGAGTGTATTACTTCTCCCATCTGCCCGTTTTCAAAGTTTGAGGCCAGTGGCCAGCCAGTGGCCAGCCACGGGTCACCGCTGGGCGAAGGCTAGAAGTCTCCCGGCGAGGCCGGCTCTCCTGGTCCCAGAATGAGAACACGCTTCCCCTCCGTGACTTTCTAACCCTTTGACGCACACATTCCAAGTAGTGATCTACACATCCCCCTTTTCCCCACTGGAAAAAAGTTCCACGAGACAAGACTCACCCCTGTTACCGCGAAGCGCTCTGCTATTTTCAATGCCAACTCCTTCCAAACGTAAAACAAAGGAGAAACTGCAGTGGAAACGTGGACTGCCCTGCGCCCCCTCCCAAGACCCACCCTCCGGACTGACGCGGTCTAATCAGGCTACGCCAACCCCTCAGCTCCGCCAGGGTTAGGGAGGGCGTGGCCCGCCCCGCCCCGGGGCGCCGCCCTGGAGCCCCCTGGCCCGCGCGCTCACCTTCTGCCGGGAGCCGCCTGGCACCGGGGCGGCGCGCTCACTCTCAGCCCGGGGCCCCCAGGCACCCGGCCCGCACGCAAACCCTCAGCCCGGGGCCCCCTGGTCCCCGCGTTCACCCCTCAGCCCGGCCGCCGGGCACTGCGCATCCGCCACGTGGCAGCGCCTCCCGAGCCCAGACACCCCGCATTAGCACGTGGTGAACACTCAATAAATGTCTGTTGAACAAATACGCGTAGGTGTAATCACATTTACGCTTTTAGGCCGGACGCGGTGGCTCACGCCTGTCGTCGTCCCAGCACTTTGGGAGGCCGAGGCCGGGGCGGGGGGGCGGGGAGTCACCTGAGGTCAGGAGTTCGAGACCAGCCTGGCCAACATGGCGAAACCCCCGTCTCTACCAAAAAATACAAAAATTAGCCGGACATGATGGTGTGCGCCTGTAATCCCAGCTATTCGGGAGGCTGAGGCAGGAGAATCGCTTGAACCCGGGAGGCGGAGGTTGCAGTGAGCCCAGATCGTGCCACTGCACTCCAGCCTGGGTGATAGGGCGAGACTCCGTCTCAATAAAGAACAAAACAAAACATTAACGCTCTTGCAGGTCGGGGAAGTGAAAATCAAGCGGTGGAGGTAGTTTTCACCCCCAGAAATAGAGGTTGACTCAAACGTACACCCCCATACCTTTCCCACCCTGTCCTACCTCCAGTCGCAGATAAAGTATTACTGCGTCTTTGTTTTCTTTTTCCTTTTCCTGTCCATTAATGTGACTGTACTGCTAAATGCAACACAACTCACTCAGAACGCAGCGGTCAGTCACTGCCCACCATTGGCTACAGTCTAGTGAAATGTAATAGTTCGGGTAAGTACACCCATACCATTAGAACAAAACCCAGACCGATATTTAAAAACCTCCTAAACGTTGACTTGAAGCTTTTCTGCATATATATCTGGGGGCAGTTCTCCACCGTTTGTTTGTTTGTTTGTTTTAAGTCTATTTCTGAATAAGCTTCAATTTTGAAGTTGGCCAATAAAATATAATTTTCTTTCTTTTTGTTTTTGTTTTCTTTTTTGAGACGGAGTCTTTCTCTGTCGCCCATGCTGGAGTGCAATGGCACGGTCTCAGCTCACTGCAACCTCTGCCTCCTGGGTTCAAGTGATTCTCCTGCCTCAGCCTCCCGAGTAGCTGGGATTACAGGCATGCACCACCAAGCCCGGCTAATTTTGTATTTTTAGTGGAGACGGGGTTTCTCCATGTTGGTCAGGCTGGTCTCAAACTCCGACCTCAGGTGATCCACCCGTCTCGGCCTCCCAAAGTGCTGGGATTACAGGCGTGAGACACTGCGCATGGCCAATAAAATATAATTTTCAATTAAGGATATATTTATTTTTCCCTGATCTCTTCTAGTAGGCATAGCAGGACCCCTCCATTTGAAATCCAATTTCAATAGAGCTTCCTTAGTTCCTTACCTTAGAATATATTATTTACAGACAAGGGTCAGAAGGCCCGTTTACCAGTCAGAACGACTGCCCTCAACTTCCCTCCTCCTGTCTCTATGGCGCCTTGCTGTGGTCTCTTTAGAAACTACAGGGGCAAATTCTCAGATCAGGTTTCCACCAACCTTTTTTTTTTCCCTTAGAGATAAAAATGTTAACATTTGTGTTTCAATAAGAAATACTTAAATGAACCGAAGAATCTTGAACAGAACCTTCTTTGTAAGCCTTTAAGTGACGACGTCTTTGAAAGCCCTTTTCCTCACTAGATGGAAATACACACACTTAGTGCAAGGAGAGGATCCTTTCTTTGGGTTATCAGAAACCACCCTTTATCACTCCCTTAACCATTCACACAGGGCATGCCATAAACTAGATTGACTTATAATCCCCTCCGCTACCACTGATTCCATTTGGTCGCTTGGGTGTGGCTCTGTTTGAGAATTAGAGACAGCATGTTTAGAAAATCTAATTTAACATTTCACATTCCACCTCTTCCATAGATTATTTTTGCTTTATCATTATCATTTAGCTTTCCTTTCCGTGGGCCTAAGAAGTAAACCAAAACGAATGAACTCATCTGTTGTGATATGAACTCAGCTCCAAGGAAATTTAATTTATCCTAAATGAGCTCGAGAACCAATTAAACTGTGAAACAGAAGTGGGCTGTCTCTTGAAATTGACCACAAAGAGGGTGTGCATAGAAAAAATGTTGTCGATTGCTGGAATTTTAGTCATAGTGATTCTTCTGCCAGTACCATCCTGGTCACTTAAGAAACTTGTATTTCGACCATTTTATCTGTGTTACAAATCAATATTTTCCTTAAAACCCTTAAAATGCAAAAACTGTAAATATGCATTAATTCACTCTATAGAGATTTGAGTTTCTCCCCTAGACAGACAAAGGTTCTAGGCCCCAGTGGATAGGTATTCCTGGCCTCCTGGGGTTTGAATGCGTAATGGCCGGGTCAGAACAGCAGGGTAAGAACTAGATTTAGGTGAGTAACTCACTGGTCTGCAGCAAATTTGAGGGGTGCGGAAAAAAATAAAAACAAACCCTCGGTATTCAGTGTTAGTAATATTTTAACCTGGCATGTAAAAGAATCAAAATCAATGCAAAAATTTATGGTCAACAAAATATCCACATTATAAATAAAGACAGAGTCAGAGGATACCAGCCAAATAATCACGCTGGTAAATGTCACAATGCAGCTGTTAGTAGCACGATGAAGGAGAGGTGTGCGGTGCTATGGGAGCCACATAGGAGAGCCCGGAAGTTAGGGAAGGTTTCCCTGATCAGCAGGACTCAGCGTGGAGGGCAGAGGCTCCCCAACAGGAGAGGGAATAGTTATGGAAGGACCTGAGAGATGAGTGGAGGCCAGTGTGGAGAGGCCATGCAGGCCCAGATTCTGGGACCCTGTAGACCATGGGAAGAACTTCAGTCTTCAGTCCAGGAGCCCTGGGAACGGAATATTATAAGAAAACATGCCTTATCTATAAATGCTTATTAACCCTAAACTTGTAAAACATTATTTCATTATTAGAGCTTCAGTTTATTTCTATTTGATTTAGCTAATATTAATTGAATACATGCACAGTCTCATTTTATCTTGAAATCAAATTTCTAAAATGGTCATTATTATTATTATTATTATTATTTCATTTGCATTTTAAAATAACCCTGAGGCACAAAGAAACTTTATTCAGGAATAAGTGTCTAAACTCAGATTAGAACCCAAGTGTTGGCTGGGCGTGGTGGCTCACTCCTGTAATGCTAGCACTTTGGGAGGCAGAGGCCAGCGCATTGCCTAGGCTTAGGAGTTGGAGACCAGCCTGGGCAACATGGTGAAACCCCATCTCTACTAAAATACAAAAAAAAAAAAAAAAAAAAAAAAGCCGGGCGTGGTGGTGGGTGCCTGTAGTTCCAGCTACTCAGAAGCCGAGGCAGGAGAATCACTTGAACCTGGGAGGGGAAGAATGCAGTGAGCCGAGATTGCACCACTGCACTCCACTGGGCAACAGAGCGAGACTCCGTCTCCAAAAACAAACGAAAAAAACGAAACAAAAACAACAGCAAAAAGAACCCAACTGTTCTTGCTCCTTTGAGATGTGTCACTGTGGTCTAATATAATATTTTACATTTTAGGGTATTTGGAAATTCTGTAGTTGTATTTTTTATTTAAAAAATCTCTCCCATTATTATTGGCTGTCATTTGTAATGCCTTTTTACACACTTGTTTGATCTTGATGGCACCTTAGGAATTGTTATTATCCACTTTATGGATGAAATGGGAAGTCAGTAGTGACAAGTGCCTTATTCAAAGCCCTCTAGGTATTAGTTTACAGAGCAGAGTTTAGAACCCAAATCTTGCTATCCTGATACAAAATGTAAAGGTAAAGCTAATTTGCCAAGTTCAGTCAATTGTTTAAAGAGCTTGTGTGTGTGTTTTTTTTTTTTTTGACGGAGTCTTGCTCTGTCGCCGGGCTGGAGTGCAGTGGCACAATCTCAGCTCACTACGACCTCCGCCTCCCTGCCTCCTGGGTTCAAGTGATTCTCCTGCCTCAGCCTCCCGAGTAGCTGGGACTACAGGTGCCCGTCACCACACCCGGCTAATTTTTTGTATTTTTAGTAGAGATGGGGTTTCACTGTGTTAGTCAGGATGGTCTCGGTCTCCTGACCTTGTGGTCCACCTGCCCCGGCCTCCCAAAGTGCTGGGATTACAGGCCTGAGCCACCATGCCTGGCCTAAAGAGCTTGTTAAACATATTTTTAGAGTTTCTGTGGAAAAAAATAATAACCTGCCAGTCAGTAATGTATATTTCTACTTGGAATTTGATATCTTAGTAGAGTATGATTTTTAAAAGGCGTAGTTAACTCTGCTTTTCTAAAAAACAATCTAAGTGGAATCTAAAATCTAAATGGAAGCTTTTTGGTACTTCACATTGAGAAGAATGAGACGTCATCATACTGTTGCATATTTTCAAAAATTTTGTGCCGTTTAGATGAAAACTATAACCTTATAAATATTGTCTTATTTCATCATCTGTGAAAATTTAGCAGTGGGTCTAAGTATAGGGCCTAAAGGTTGCTTTTTAGACCCCAGATTCTCTTCAGACTTTGACAGTGATTTGTTAATGCTATGTTTGGCAGTTTCATAAGATTTTGCCTTCTTTTTTTTTTTTTTTGAGACGGAGTTTCGCTCTTGTTGCCCCGGCTGGCGTGCAATGGCGCCATCTCGGCTCACGGCAACCTCTGCCTCCCAGGTTCAATTGATTCTCCTGCCTCAGTCTCCTGAGTAGCTGGGATTACAGGCATGCACTACCACACCTAGCTAATTTTGTATTTTTAGTAGAGACGGGGTTTCTCC